AAAATCACACACACACACACACACACACACACACACACACACACTCACACACCAGATTTTACTCTATTGGTGGTTGTACTGTGTTTCAACCTATGCAGTTACGACTTACGAGTAAGATCGAATATCCTGTCACACACGCTTAAAACGCAATTTTTTACGAATATTTACTACCTTTATTTTGCATGTTACGAAAAAACAAACTTAATTACTCAAAATTACGAAACTGTTTCAACCTATGCAGTTACCAATAACGTCGAATCTCTTGTCACACACGTGTAAAACACATTTTTTTTTTTACGAATATTTACTACATTCATGTGCATGTTACGAAAAATTGAACGTGATTATTACTATAGATAAACACAAAATTACGAAAAAAATTGAACCTAATTATGAAAAGTTGAACCTAATTACTATAGGTCTTCGAGTGACCATCGATTGCAAACTTGAATCCGGCGAAATTAAAAGGGTCGGGGGAGGAGTCGAGCTAGACGAACAAGGAAAATTCAAAGTCTCACTCCCAAAAGACACCGTCGTCCAAAACGGCCAAAAGCTCAGAGACGACTGTTACGCGCAGCTCCATGGCTCGGCCGCCATCCCTTGCCCGACCCACGACAGTCTAGAAGCCGCCAAAATTGCTTTCGAGTCCAAAACCGATAAAGGATCGACCTTCGTCCCGGCTAAGAACCTCCGGTTCTCGTCGGCATTGTGCACTTCCAAATTCTTGTGGCCACACCACCACAAATACCCTCCTCTCTCAAAGTCACATTTCATTTGGAAGAAGAAATTCCCCAAAATTAAATTCCCACCTCTCAAGAATTTTGTCCCTCCTTTCCCACCCCTCTACAAGCCCAAGCCGAAGCCGCCGGTTCCTATTTACAAGCCGAAGCCGCCGGTTGTCAAGCCAAAGCCACCGATTGTCCCTATTTACAAGCCGAAGCCACCAGTTTACAAGCCCAAGCCACTTCCTCCACCTATTTACAAGCCGAAGCCACCGGTTTACAAGCCCAAGCCACTTCCTCCACCTATTTACAAGCCGAAGCCACCGGTTTACAAGCCCAAGCCACTTCCTCCACCGGCTCCGGTTTACAAGCCGAAGCCCAAGCCACTTCCTACACCTGCTCCGGTTTACAAGCCAAAGCCCAAGCCGAAGCCCAAGCCACTTCCTACACCGGCTCCGGTTTACAAGCCAAAGCCCAAGCCATTTAATAAGCCACCGGTCGTCGTGATCAAGCCATTGCCACCGCCGATTCCTCTATTTCCACACCCGCCGTTTTACAAGAAGCCTTGCCCTCCATTAATCCCTAAAGTTCCTAAAAATTACTTTCACCACCCCAAATTCGGATATTATTTCCCGCCACTCCCACCTTCCATTCCTCAACCATGATGGGCTTTTTTCTCCAGTTATATATTTACGTGGTTTTTACATATATGTTTATTGTTTTTGAACCAGCCAAGTTATCGATTGTTTTAATGTTGTTGAAATAAAATGCTTCATGAAGCATCAATTTATATTATTTTTTAACTGTTTCCTTTTTCATGTTTCAAGAGAGGGAAGAAAGAAAGTGTACTGAGTGAGAAAAATGGATATATAGTGAAATGTTTTAATTTGGCTTATTGGTGTTATGTGCAATTTATTCGTTTCATAATATTAAATGCTACGGTCCCATTATGAAACCATTTCGTCGGGTTTGTAACTGTTCGATCATCATGTAATTGTCGGGAATAGTTGATCTAACGGATGTAAACCCAGACAAAATGATTCCGTAACGGGACCGTAGCATCTCCTAATATTTTATATTGGTGAATTTGGTTTTTTTTTTTTATTTTTTTTCTAAATTTCAAGCCATTATTTTTGGGCTGTAAATCGATGTTTCGGAACTAACCCAACGGAGGCGTATGGACAAATTGGGCCTAACTGGGTCGTAAAAAGATGGCAGATTCATAATTGGGTTGGCTCGTTAACATAATGGGCTCAATTAAAAAGAAAAGAAAAAAAGAAAAAAAGGGAAAAACAACCAACGAACACGAGTTTAGCGATGATCCTTGTCTCGTTCGATAACAACATTAGCTCTTTCTACACCAAAATCCAATTGCCCAAACACCGGCGAAAAAAGTTCATCAATCTGTGAGTTAACGACTAGTTTGATCGGAAACATGTCCTCGACGTTCAGCGGCGATGAAACTGCTCCATTTTTCGGCTTCCTCGGCGCCGCCGCCGCTCTCGTCTTCTCCTGTAAATTCTCCGATTTCATCGTCTAGTTCACAATTTTATGTTTTTCATCATAATTAATGCTGTTAATTTTCTTGAATAATTGTTAATCTATGGCGTGCTTTCTGGTAAAATTGGTTTTGTTGCTTCGTGTCTCTTACCTTAATATTTTCATGTAGTTTGCTTTGAGCATTTTTATCTTGAGCTGGTTTGATTGTGTTTGGTGGATTTATTTATTTGGGCCCCGTTTTCATTTCGGTTTCGATGAAGCTTAACATCAGTATCTACCTCATATTCTGTTTACAGAATATTTAAATTTGCTGAATAATTGTTATATATGGCGTGTTTTGTGGTAAAATTGGTTTTGTTGCTTGGTTCTTGTAGTTTGCTTTGAGCTTTTATCTGTTATATTCACTGTAATTGTTTCTCGAGCGGGTTTGGTTTGTCTTTGCTGGATTTATTATTTGGGCCCTTTTTGGTTTCGACTTTGATGATTATATGTTCTGTTCTTGTAAATGTATGAGGCTTAACATCAGTATCTATCTCATATCCTTATCCTCTGTTTGGTTACTCCAGAAAATGCTACATGTTTTCTGTTTACAGAATATTTTCATTGCATCTGAATGTGATTTCCTTGTAATGAAAGGTATGGGAGCAGCTTATGGGACAGCAAAGAGTGGTGTTGGTGTGGCATCAATGGGGGTGATGAGGCCAGAGCTTGTGATGAAGTCGATCGTGCCAGTGGTTATGGCTGGTGTGTTGGGTATTTACGGTTTGATTATTGCCGTAATTATCAGCACAGGGATTAACCCTAAAGCTAAATCTTATTACCTTTTTGACGGGTATGCCCATCTCTCTTCTGGCCTCGCGTGTGGCCTTGCTGGGCTTGCCGCTGGAATGGCTATTGGGATTGTGGGAGATGCGGGTGTTAGGTATTGAACTTAACTGATGTGTATTTGATATTACAATCCGTTAAAATTCACTTTGGAATTTGAATGTGTTTTGTTGTGCTTAATGAGGATTTTTGTGGATTATTGATCTGTCTTTGGCTTTGTTGTTGAGAAGAGACATCATGGCTTAGCTTACATAAGTTGATACTTTTAGACTTTCGAGGGCTCGACATAAAAAAATATTTTGTCAAAGTGACTTTTCTTACCTCATTCTTGATTTGGATAATTAACTATAGATGAGTCTGTAACCTAGTAGTGAGAGGCTTGATCTGAATTCTTTTCAGTGCTTTGAATTGAATAGTTTCATTAAAGTTAGCAAATCATTCTGGTCTGCTGGTTTGTTCTATAAAGATGTGCAGTGCCGGTAAACAATTATCTTGTACAATTATTTCCATCTTTCTTTATATTTTAGATGTAGGCCTAATCAACTTGCTTAAATTGAGAAGTAAATTGAATTATTTTCACTTGCTTTTATTATATGTGTTCTAGTTCAAGCTACTGTTTGAGTCGATGTACGATCTTTTCATCAAAAACCTGTAAACATCACCAATTTTCTCTTTCTTTGACGGTAGAGGTTTCGATATTCATCCAACTTATACAGATTTAAATATAAAACTCATCCAAAGTTCCTTTGTTTTTCATCTTCTTTGGTTTTTACATCTTATGCTCTTTACAGGGCTAATGCACAGCAGCCAAAGCTATTTGTTGGGATGATCCTTATTCTCATTTTTGCTGAAGCTTTGGCACTCTATGGCCTTATTGTTGGAATCATTCTGTCTTCACGAGCTGGCCAGTCGAGAGCTGACTGAGGAAGCAAACTGTGAGTTAAATTTAATCCCTAACATATATTATGCCCAGTTAAGTCCCGGGCGTTGGGAGAATCTTCTGGCTGTGTTAAATTTTTTATTAATCATATTGTACTGCAATTTTTGGTCACTTTTGATATATATTTATTTATGTTCACTTCCCACTGATTATTCCTATTATTTGTAGAATTACATTTGTTTTCAGCTGAATAAGAACTTTACAAGCTCTATATTTTGGAGAACTCGAATTCTTGGGGTACTTTGAAATAATGAATTGAAGATTTCCACCATTTTCTGCTTCAAAATTTGTGATAGAAATATGGTCTTGTAGTTGATTGGTTAATCACTGGGAGATTGTGTGTTCTTGCGGAAGGCAAACTTGATAAAACTTGCAATTCCATTAATGAGTGGTAATAATTCTCATATGATGATGATCATCGTGATAATACTAATTCCATTAGTTAGTGCTTGTTTTCTCTTGCTAAAACAATATTCGATAACAGCCTGGGCTGCTCGGTTTTGTCCAGAACTGGCTTGGACCTTCTCACAGATTTGTATCTGCTTATTAGTAATAGTATGGGCTTTTGAATAGACGAATTATAGAGGCAACTTAACTTACTAGACACGAATAAATATTGCAGTTCTGTGGGTTAACAACAAGGGTTGAGTGCAAGAGTAGATGTGTGAATGAGCCGAGCTGAGCTCTAGCTTCTGTACTTATGCATTGGCTCGAGCCTTTATCGAACTCGACTCATTTATCAATATTAACTAGCAGAGCTAAGAGTCAAATTCAAAATATTACATAAAAAAACTTGGCTTGGCTCTTTTACGAAACGAGTTTGAACTCCGGAATAGCATTAGGGTTGTTTCGTTTGACAGCTCTAAATTGTTAAAAAATGCCACCGAGATCTGTTCACTTAAGGGCATGTTTGGATACAAATATATCCGCTCAAAACGAGTTTTTTTTTTTTTTTTTT